TGGCACCGCCCACTTATGATAACATATACGTATATCGGTAACCGTTATACCAATTTGTACCAAACTCGGTACGGTTATTGTGCTTGCCCCATAAAAGCCAATTATTAAAAATTATTGAATTCAGCTAAAATTACGGCCGCTTTTCATATAACGGTAAATTTCAGAAATGCTTGAAACTGCAATATTTCGAAATTTAAGGACGCTACTCAAAATTGGTACACCCCGGTTTACCATCTAGCGGTAGCTTTCGGAAAGGTGAAAAAACATATATTTAATACTTGCGCCGGGTATTTAATGCTCGGCTCCGCCCGAACTTAGACTTTCTTACTTGTTTAGTTTAGTTTTCCACCAATCGAGAGGATTTTTACGGAGATCAGCTCGTTTTTAGGCCGTCGATAGGCCTTGAGCTTTAATTTTAAATTTTTTAATGTCTCCAGATTCTACATCCGAGTCTTCGCTTTCGCTGGGGGAATCTAAAATTATTTCTAGGTTGCTTATAAGACTTTTAGTAATCTATATATTAATACGCTAACATGAATTTTGTCTCCGTTCGTTTGGTGATTCTACCAAACCGATTTCGAAACCAATTGGACCATTGGAAAGGCATTTTGCTTTAGGTGAGCAGAGTTTTTATGGTTTCAAAATTGGTTGAAAATTACGGCTTAAACCGTCGCTTAAACATTTTCGAATTGTGTATAGATGTTGCTGCAACATGTTCAATTTGACATGTTTCGCATGTTGTTTCACTTCGCATTTGAAATTAAGCTTTGACATAAAGATAAATATGAAGATGACGAAATAAATGATAACGATTAAGACAAGAATGAGAAGGCGAAAGTGAATTCAAAGACAAAAATGGAGACAGTGAGAAATACTTAAGAGTTAGGGTAACTGAAAGGGTAAGCAAATATATTGGGAGTAAATGGGCAATGATGCATACTGAAATAGTTGCCACGGAAACAAGTGCTTCTAATATATGTATGTCATATTAATTTAACAAAAACGTGCTAATAAGGGGTTTAAGAATAAGACTGAGATAAAGCCTAATATATTTAGGAAGGAAAGTAAAGTTTAGTATCTACATAGACGAAGAAAAGGTTAAAGGTAAAGGTAAATATAAAAACAAAAACAAATATGCGTGAAGATAAAGGATAGAACGACGATCAAAGTTAATTTAAACAATATAAGGTAAAGGTGAAGGGGAATATGCAAAAATGAAGATAAATATGAGGATGAAGATTGATATTGTTATTGATATAATAATCGATATTGTTATCGGCATAATAATGGATACAGTATATTTTGCTTAGCTGCCCATCCTTCTTTGCACGAAAAACTTGTGCACTTAACCGAAAAAAGCACTTAAGCGAATTTACTTTACTACTTCAATGAGGAAGGTATCCGAATCCCTATGAAAGCAAATAGTGGAGGAGCACTTACCACGTAGAAATTACTGCAAGCGAAATTTTTACCGAATGGTATCTAATTATCTATATAATTACATTAATTGATAGCCATTTTCGTTGTTCTGCGAGATGAGCAAAATAAATAAAGGCTTGTTAAATTAGATAATTGTAGGGCCAGTGCAGGTAGACCTAATACTTTCTTTGATAGTTAATAATAGTTGCACAATTTTTAAGGCAGGTATCGCCAATGTGCAGGTATGTTGAATGCACCTATCGGAGGAGTTTCCTTATAAATGTTAAAAATAATGCCGCTAATGCGCATTTAAATGTAGGTATCTTAAATGTACACTTAAGCATAAAGGCACCAAAGCAAAATATACTGTACTTCTATCAATACAACCGATATTGTTATCGATAAAATAATCGATAATGTTATAAATTTTATATGTCGATATACTTAACAATATATAAATCGATTTTGGAATCGTTGTATTTTGCGAANAGTGTTGACATTTATCAAATTGTTGACGTTTTTGAATGTGCAAATTTAAAGCCAAAATTTAGTTAATACTGTAGTTTAAAGCGTTTTTATTGCTCGTAAAATAAAATCAGACATAAAGCAAATCCAGAGAAAAACAAAAAAAGGTTTCCAACCTAAATACATAAAACCAAAAAAAAAATATTTTACATGAGATCATGGCATACATACATATGTATCTATTCTTAAAAGAAATCTGTTATTTTTTTCTGCTGTTTTTTCCGCTCCAATAATTGAAATACAGCCTTCTCCCTTAGACGTCTTAACACATTTAGATCATCTTGCGAAACATTCTCGCATCCGGCCCAATCCAAAGCCCGGTTAAAAATTTCTATGGCTTCGCTTGGCTTTACTGTTTGCAGATTTTCATGCACATCGTAAGCGTCATCATCGGACACTTCTAACTTCTGATTTGGTCCCGACCCAGTAACGTCATCCAACAAAATATCTTGATTCCATTCCTCAATGGATGGCACTGCATAGTCAACCTATAAAAAATATTAAAACTATGTCTGATAGTGTCCCTAAAATGGCTTAAGAAAAACGACAAACCTGAGGATTTAATTCATTAAGCACATCAACTGCGCGCGTCATTAGTAGCTGAAGCTCCGAATCCATATTTGCTTTCAGAATGCTCAATGGAACATTTTCCTCTGGATCTTCCTCAGATTCCGTGAAACTCAAAAGATTTTTCCAGCATTTAGCCATAGTGTCTGTACTGACTTTATTCCATGCGATCTCTAGAAACGTAACAGCATCCTTTAATGTTACTGTTTTCATTGAACTGACTAAATCTGAATTTTTTGCCGCCATCATGGCTAAAAGACTTGTTCTATAGTAAAGCTTCGTTATCTTAATTGCATTTTGGTCCATTGGCTGGATTAGTGGGGTCACATTTGGCGGAAAAAACATTGCAATTATGTTTCCATCCTCTGTTTTAAGCTCCAATTCACTTGGATGAGATGGAGCATTATCTATTAGAAGAAGTGCTTTAACTGGCAGATTCTTTTTTGAAAGAAACTCTGTTACCTAAAAATAGAGAATTTTAATTGTTAAAAATTATGTCTATTCTGCCACATAAGAAAAATTTTAACCTGCGGCACAAATGATTTATGAAACCAATCGCGAAAAATAGTTGATGTCATCCATGAGGACTTGGAACTTGTGTACTCAGTAGGGCAGTTGAAATTTAAAAAAACGCGCGGATTTCTAGCTTTTCCAATTACTTGCAGTTTGAGGTTGTGATTTCCGGATGCATTAGCACAACATAAAAAAGTGATTCGTTGTTTTTCCGTCTTCATTCCCGGAGCACTCTTTTCGGCACTTGATACATAAGACTTGTCTGGCAAAATTTTCCAGAACAAGCCAGATTCATCAGCATTGTACAATTGATCGTGACATAGACCCATTTCTTCGATTTTTGCTTTTAGAATTGCTTTAAATGGATCAACAAGCTGAGGCTGTGAAGAAAGCTTTTCTCCAGATATTTTAAGAAGTCGAATGCCAAATCTTTCTTAAATCCTTGCAGCCACCCATCACTTGCGTTAAAAGCTGAATCTTTTTGTTTTAGTTTTAGATGAATCTCTTTAGCTTTTTCCTTCAGCGCTAATGCATTTATAGGATAATTTCTTTCCCGCTGCTTAATAAACCAACGGTACAAACATTTCTCCATTTTGGGCAGCTCTGATGCTCTTAATGTCTTCCTTTTTCCCGGTCCAGAAAATGTGTTATTAACACATTTCAAAATTGCCCTTTTTTTTGGATTTTATCTTACTAATCGTTGATTTTGTTACACCATATTGTTTCGCTAAAGCCGTCGCACTTGCACCTTTTTGTAATAAATCCAATATATTTGCTTTTTCTTGCAATTGAAGAACTTTTGGTTTTTTTGAGCTCATTTTATACGTGCAACTCTAACGAGATCAAGAAAGCAATTGAACAGAAAACGACAATAACTACCCATCAATAGACACACGGGGAATCCCCAAAACTAAAACTAATTACCAGATGTGGGCACTACCACAAACAAGCGTGAGCTAAAAGTGAGAATGTGTTAGTGTGCCTAATTCATTTTGCATGCTGTCGTGTTCTCATCGCAGCGCTCTCGCTTGTATACGTACACGCGACTCTTACGCTCTTTTAGCACCTGCTAACTCTCTGCCCATGCCTGCTAATTACACACGGTTGTATGAAAGTATTTTAACCGTTACTAAAGCTAAAACTTTGAATTATTTGAGTTGACGTTTTAGAGCTTTGAGGTTTGGTTGACGTTTTAGAGTAGACAATACAAATAAAAAAGGGTTGACGTTTTGGGATGTTGACGTAATGGGGGGTTGACGTTATGCCGAGTGCACTGTATATTTATTGGTATATTTATCGACAAAGTTATCGAGAGCGTTATCAATTTAATACTCGACACATGACATGTGATCACAATATATGATATCACATAATATTATATCACATGATATGATATGGCATCACATGACATGACATCACATGACATGACATCACATAATATGACATCATATTATATGACATCATATAGTATGACATGACTTCACATGATATAACATCATATAACATGACATCACATGATTTGGCATCAAATGACATCACATTACATGGAAAAATATTTGTTTCTGTATCGATTAACATGGTTACTGAAAGCATGCGCATTATTTTCTTTCAAAATTAAATTGTAAAAAAGTAATAACAAGCTATGGCTCTGATATTTCAAGCCCCTTAAAAAGCCCGGGCCCGGGGAGGATTAACCCATTCTTACCCTCTCGACAGGTCTGGGTAGGGATAAAGATATAAAAAAGATAAAATATAACAAAACAAAAGCTTACGGGGTGTGCATAGCTCAGTGGTTAGCGCTTCTGACTTTGCACATCGATGACGCGGATTCGATCCCTGCTGAAAGTCTAGAAAAAAGAAGTCTGATGAGGAGATGTGGTGATCTCAGAAATAGCTGCTATAACTTCTACCGCTTAAGAATTGTTGTTTTTTCCATTATTCCTAACAAGCAAATCGTGGTACAAAGCTCAATAACACTATTGAGATAAAATATAACCTTGAGCTTATAAAATTATACTAACTACACCCTGTAGTTTTATTCACAATTTCTAAATAAGTAACGTAAGTTCCAGCACTAAAAGGAGTTGCCTATACGCCGCTATGCCTGAATTTGGCATCCCCTCAAAACTCATACGGCTGTGTAAAATGACGTTGCGCAATACCACCAGCTCCGTCAGAATTGGAAAAGACCTCTCCGAGCCGTTCGCCAC